TAGCATAGGATCAGGCATCTGCAATCAATTTTTGGAAGTCATAACGTCTGTTTAGGTAGATCTGATTCAAATAACGTATCGTACTGACAGCTGGTAGGAGATGGGTCGATAAACAGTTCGAAGTGCAAGTACTCATTTATTAGTGTCTGATATGGTTTATATAGAGAGCTAAAAGTGTGGGTTTGAAGAGCTGTATATACAGTGAAAACTAATTAAGATGTCTAATATACTGTAATGGCAATTGCGTTTCAACTGCTTGATCTTTCCTTACCCAGATGATCCACGAATTTTTAATTTACTTTAAACTGGTGCCAACACATGATAGGTACTAAACTAGAATGTAAAGCCTATATCCACAAAAAAATGGGGGATGGGAATGTGAATTGTTGAAGCCATTTGGTATGAAGAAAGGTTCCAAAGAATTGTAACTGTATATAGTTCCAATCCTGGAAATATATTCCTGTTGAGTAAAAGAACTAGGAAATAGACTTTTTAAAGGGAAGAGATATTCCCTTTACCAAAGGGAAATAGAGGTTATGTAGGTGGCTGCTTCTCTACCCACCCTCCTTTGTGCTTTAGAACTCGGCTTTAAGGGCAGCACCGAGAAGATGGGGGTTCACTGCTTGATCTGGTTTCTCAGTCCAGAACCTAAAGACACGTCTCAGTCATTGCCTGAAATGATAGAAAGAATCATGGTGTGTGTCAGATACAGTGTAAGGAATCATCATTGGTTTATTTTTTCATGTTTGTTAGCTAGTTTCTGTGAATGCAGTAAAAAGTTAACTTTTTGCTTTGCATAACACTTCCAACACTGCCCACAGCAATAAAGCCAGAGCATTTGTCTAGAGATACTAAACTGAGCCAAGGAGTGTGATTTGCCTTCTCCACAGACCCTCCAAAGAAGCAACAGTTGTAGACAGGTTGTAAGCATAGTGTCTCCCAGGAATCTGCAAACCTGTGTGCTTAGAGGAAATAGTTTACTTTTCTATGAGCTCCTAATTTCCTGCACGTAGTTTATCTAAGACACTGTCCTGTGTTTCCAGGTAAGGGCCACTTCCAGAGAAAACTGCGTTACGTTAGAAAGTACCTTTATGTGTAGGTCATCGGATCTACTCCATATGACTCTATTTTCAAAATAATTTGGTTTAACATATTTGAAGAATTTAGTGTTAGCAATCAAATCTGAGATGACTCTGACTTCCAGTTCTCCTCTTCAGGTAATTATATTAGGGAAAACTTTTTTACATAAACTGATCCAAACAAGTTACAGTTTTGTAGATTTGCAAAGCATGGTTTATGTCAAATATAAGTATGGAAGAACTCTAGCCTTCTTAGAATGTATATCCCTTATTCTAATAAAGGAATTAAATCATGTGATCTGTACGGACATTGCCACTAATTTCATACCTGGGATTTAAGGCACAGTTTTGTAGGAATTCTTTTTTTCTGCAGAAAGTGTGACTCCAGAATCTGAGAACTTTTCCCTGATTTCCCATTTGTTCCTGTGCCAGCTTGAGAGTTGTCTATTTCAGAAACTTTCTTACTCTATCTGAAGAAAAAACATGATAACAATAGTTGCCATAAATAAAATTACTGCAAGTTAAATCTGTTAAATATAGAAGAGCTGAAGAATGGAATCCACTGCTGAGTGGACTGTTAATTGATCCTGGCAATTGAGACAGCACCTGCATGTGGCGGTTGCTCCCAGTACATGACTGATAAGGAAAAACCCCTACTAAATTTCAAGTGAAAAACCAGGAGAACGTTGATTGTGGTATTTGTGATGGAAAGGAACATAGATGTCATCCATTTTAATCAAGATTGTCAGTGGAATTTGCAGATGTATTCAAATATACTAAAGAGACAGTGAATCCCTACAAATGCCCTTTACAGCTCTATGCCAAAATGCCATAGGTTCTGTTGGTTGTCTTAATAGGTCACCCATAATGACTAAAAAAATTGGACCTATTAAGCTTTTTTCTCAACAAGGTATCTACTTTACTCAATTGCTGTGGTAGCAGCTTTCTTAGATAAGGCATCTGGAAGACAATACTATAAGCAGTGTTTCTGTAAAGTGCTTTTTTTTTTTCAATTGGCAGCAGGTGAGCTTAGGAAAAATTTAGAGGTGTCTAAAACCAAATTAACATGATCAGATTTTATTTTTAAAAATGCAGTGAATCATTCAGAAGGTTGCTATTATTGCCTGTAATAATTCTCTTTTACTACATGAGCCATTGTGAGATGCATAAAGAGTTCTGAAAGAGTTACAGAAGTCTTGCAAATTCTCAGAAGTCTGTAAATTCTATTCTGAATTGAGCAAACTTTATTTGAGCTACTACAGCCATCATTCATGTTGTTAATGACACAATAGAATTAATTTATTGTTGGTGTGTGTCATTGTAGTACTACTATTAAGTAGTGATCGGCTGCATTACCAAAAGGTATTTCATTGTGGTTTAAAATGTAACAGTTACATATGCTCTTAAGTCAGATTTATAGAAACTGCATTTTAAGGCAAGACCTTGTAAAAGGATTTAGATATCCTTGCTGAGGGAAAGAATTCAGAATTCTTTTCATGGTGAGCTAATATATAGAAACAATATTCATGCTTTTTTTTTTTTTCTTTTTTCTTTTCTCCAGCCAGGTGATTCTCAGATAATTGAAATAATTTTAGGGCAAATAATTTCATAGGAATGTCTAAGGGTGGCGGTGACTTTAACATTCAAAAGCTATTGAGTAGGTACACAGTAAAATTCCTCATATGGACTTTTCTACCCCTGGACAGAACTGGAATAGGTCAGATTGTTAGTTTTTGTAAACTGGATGGTATAATTTAGATTCCATATGCCATTTCTTACTCTTTTTAAATTTCCTTGTCAAGCAACTGGAATGTTTTTGTGCTAAAGTAGAAATCAAAGTTGTTACCATAGGAATAAAAGCCTCAATTCATCATAGTTTTAATATTTTTCATTGTTCTCAGAAGAATGGAAATCTTTAACGTAGTAAAACTGAATCCAGTCCTTCCTTTTTAACATTCAGACCAGAGGCCGAAGACACTAAGCATTTGGTTTCATATTCTGAAACTTTATGCTCTTGGGATTTACTGAAATTGTATTTCTGAGTGTTTTAAAGTTAAGCGCTCAGTGCCCTTCTGAAGTGCTGTTCATCAAACTGCATCTTTTTGGAAACTTACCTCTATTTCGAATGTCTTGGCAGCAATGCTATATTTTTCTTACTTGGATGGCTTGGCAGTCTTCAGAACTACTAAGAAAGAGACTTAAGTCCTTTTTTTGAAAAATTTAGTTTCTCCTGAAATTTAGCAGTTCCATACATTTTGGTCTTTTTATAGTTGCATGGTACTGTGAAATTTCTGCAACTATAGTGTCCTGTGTCATTTCAGGGTAATGTTCAGTATGGAATACAATACGGTTACAAGATTTAAGATAGTAATTCAATTTTCTGTCCTGCCTGAACACAAAATGTGGTCCAAGCACCATTTAAATGTTACGATAACGTGCAAAACCTAAGATTGATGGAATATCATTGAGAGCCTGTTCATGTTAAGAGCATTGTAGAAAATATTTTCCACCTTAAGTAACACTGGTTCAGCTCTTATCATACCACTCTAGTAGATATTGATTATATGAGCTGTTGAATCCTTTTTAAAGACATTGCTGCATAATCCCACTATATTTAATTGATAGGGTTACTGACACTAATGGCAGCTCCTGATGTACTTAAATGATAGCTCTCCGTGTAGCATCTCTGTGAATGAGAAGAAATTATACATATATATATATATATATATACACACACACACACCCCTATACGTATTATGTTAATTATACCTATACATAGGTGAAGGAAGACTGAAGTGTTTTATCTTAATAGTGTAATAATTTTGTACTGTGGTTATATTTGTGTGTATATCAAACCAGATTTTTCAATTTATTGTGCAAACTTTTAAAAATCTTAAGAATTGCCACGAGTCTAGGGCAAGCAGACAGATCACCAATACCCTTTTAAGTACAAGTCAGAAGTGAGGAACATAATTCAAGTTTCTCACATTCACTGTTAGAAAAAACAAAAATAATTATTGATTGGGAAGATAAGACTGTGTAAAAGAAAGCAAAGTTAGCAGTTTTGGCAGTTCTCTCTATATAGAATGATTAATGAAGGGGGTTGGATATCTGTCTTAAGGCGAAGTAATAACACCATGGTTTGATTTTAAAAAAATATAAAATTGTGTAGTAATTATGACTATAAAAATTATAGAATTCTTTTTGTAATATTTTATTTGAAGGAAAGAAGGGTGGAAAAACATTCTGTGATTATACAACACCAATTGACATCAATATCTAGAGCATCAGGGAGTAAATGCTGGTATTCAGAAACTAGTGAAGAAAGAAATATTTTTAATTGGTGCCTGTAGTGCATCCCTTGATGTCTATTGCTCTGCCACAGCTTTGAGAATTACCTGTGGCTTTCCCTGCCTTTGGAATTTCTCAAAAAAGTGATTGGTTTGCTGGTTCAGAAAATAATTTTTGAAAACATTGCAAACACATTTCGGTAAGTGGTTGGTTGTCTGTTCATACATAGAACATTGGCGTATGTTAGTGAAGTGGAAGAAATTGTTTAGATCCTGTCAGAATTTAAAAACTCAAATTTCTAATAGTTAAAACCAAGAAATAATGTTCCTACTGAAGAAAAAAGAGGAAGTTCTGCCACAGAGCTTTTTTGAGGGATGAGGTAAACAGGACCTGATGCCTGTGGAGAACAAAAACTGACATAAAGAGATGGTTTCAGAAACTATGACCTATGTTGTTTTGTGGTGCCTACTTGGATTTCTCCTGAGAAATTGGAGAAACACAGTAAATTGAAATAAAACAGAAAAGCCCATATAATATTTGTTGTGGCTCTATACTCGCTTTGTAGATGCCAAGTTAAGTAGTCAAGGGGTTTATTTCTGACAATGAGAATCTTTTTCTATTCTTTGACAGCCACGAGCTGTCGCTGGTTTTCGAGGAACAGTACGATACGCATCAGTCAATGCTCATAGAAACAGAGTGAGTATCTCAGATTTATATCATATCCATCTCATGTAGCTGAAAGCAGTCAGTAATGCAGTTGCTATTGATTTCCGATTTTGTATTCTTATGTGTGTATATATCATGTGGAAATTAATACTTATAAAATTTGGGAAAGGATAATACACTTAGCTGTAGTTGAGGGTAAAAAATTCTTGTAGAAAAAATAGTGGTTTTTATAGTTGCCTTTGGTGTTCAGTTGTACTGTAATTTAATAAATTTAAAAGGCGAAGTTACTGAGTTTGATAAAATGCATAATGTCCAGAATGTTGTCTTAATATCATAGACTAAAGAAATATGAATAAACAGTTTTTCCAGTGTAGAGACTGGCACTGTTATTTTAACACACTTCAATGTCTGTTTTGTTTCTCTGTATCTTTTATGGAATTTTACTTCTATGTTTCTACTTAAAATAGTTGCTGGATTTAATTATACAAACTTGTTTTGCAGCATTGATTATATTTAATTTTATATATAATAATTTAAGTCTCCAGAGCAGTGAAGAATCTATCTTCCCTTATGTCTTACAGATATTTGAAAGATGCATTAGAATAATATTTCTTTTTCACAGGAAATGGGTCGGCATGATGACCTCTGGTCCCTGTTCTACATGTTGGTGGAATTTGTGGTTGGGCAACTGCCTTGGAGAAAAATAAAAGATAAGGTAAACCTAGAAGTGAAACTAAAGAGCACGAGGGAGATTTACTTTTGGACTGCAAGTGAATGCTGTGATAAAGATCCCACTAAGAATCGCTGGTTCATTAATTACATTTTCCAATCTAGCATCATAGTATAAAAAGCAATCAAGTTTTACGAACTGTTCTAGGCAGGGAGTGGATTTTACTTCTAATTAGAAAATCTTTTAAATGGCAAAAGTAAGTGTATATGTGCCACTTAATGCATTTTCCTGTTTTCATTTAATAATTTTTGATTTTACCTATCACACATTTAGAATTTCTTACCTATTTTGACTATTTGTGAAATGGTCATTTCTTATTTGCTGGTGAACAAAGTGAATCACTTAATATGCAGTAGTATCTTTAGTCATATATCATAGGTGAGCTATGCAAAGAAACAATATCTAATTAGCTTATTATTACTTCTTTCAACTTCTTTTGAAATTAGATTGAAACAAGGTTGATCTCTGATGTAGTTTATGCATTGGTAGATGACAATGTGGTATATAGGTAGCATCTCTTCTTTGGTTTCAATTTACTCATGTTACACTAAACAGGAATTACTGAATGGTACACAATATACTGTGATGACTAAATATACACCAAATACCAAAAAGTGACTGAACTTCAGATGATGCAGTAGGATATTTCAGTCTTTAAAACATGTTTTTTAGAAGGATTGGAGTGTCTGATGGCAGTCCTTGATGTCAGGCAGCATTCAAACACAGGAGAAAATTAAATGGCTTTTCATCTTGAATTTATAGTTTGTACATTATTTTGCATGTGTACTGAGGGCAATGACAGAATCTCTTACCTTTCCATCTGATGTAGAATGGCCTTCCTCAGTACTGCTCAGTGTAACGTACTTACCCATCTTTCTGTCCAGTAGCTTATTGAATTGCTGTAAGATACAAGGTGAATATGTTGTAGCAGAGAATGAAGGCATGTTAATGTTTGTTGTGTTATTTACTCCTAGGAGCAAGTGGGCTCCATTAAAGAAAGGTATGAGCACAGACTTATGTTGAAACATCTTCCTCAAGAATTCAACATCTTTCTGGATCACATTTCTAATTTAGATTATTTTACAAAGCCTGATTACCAGGTAAACATTTTTACTATTTTGTGTTTCTGACTTTAAATAGCAGAATTTTAGGCTATTTCATCTTAAGTTTCATTTGATTTCATTGTGTAGCCTTCATAGTGATTATGGATTGTGCCACTACAAAGTTATTTTAATGACCATCTAGTGCTATGGAAACTTTGCGCTTCAAAGATGTCATTTTTTTTTCCATTTGAGAAGAGTAAGGTAGTTAAGTTTCTAAAAACAATTGGCAACCGCTTTGCAGTCAGTATTCTGTTAGGATCAGGTGCTATCCTACTACCATAGCCTCTGTTGGGTACTCCTTAAATTAAATCAGATTGCATTCTCAGTGATAGTCATTCTGGCAGTTTACCAAAATCTGGAGCTCAGCACCTACAATATATACAGCCAGAGCACAACGTGCAGCCACGGTGGGTTTTTAAGACTGAAGTATTACCTACAGAGATCACCAGAAAACTAGTAATTTTTCTTTGTTTGAGAGAGTATTACCTGCTGAAATGACAGTCGCAGCTTGGAGATAAGGTGCAATAGGTGCTGAGAGGATGTACTGTAGAACCTGTGTTTTGTTCACTCAGTGTTGACCCATGATTTATCAATAAATAAAACTCAAAGATAGAACTTTGTTCTCTACCAGTATGTAGAAATCAGCAGAGGAATGCTCAGAGAAAGCAGGGAGTGAGACACTAAGAGTATTCTCAGTCTCAAACTGTGGGAGAAGTTAAACCTATCTAACATCACACCACGACAAGTTGTCCCTGTGTGCCTTCCCTTTGGCTCTCAGAAACACATATTCCTGTCAGCTCCCCACTAGCATTGTCTGTCTGCCTCTGTGCATTTTTTTCAACTCACTAACTCAGCAAAACCAGAAGGAATGGTTTTCTGCTGGTGTGCAGACTACATTGGTTCAACTGAATAAATAAATCATTCTGACTAATTCTGGAGTAGTAACTTTGATAAGAATGATTCCTGTGCTTTACTTTGTAAGATTAACAGAGAAACCAAGATACATAAAATTGGAAATAAGAACTGAAAATCTCAAGGGATAACTGATTTTCTGTAAGTGAATTTCTCTAAATGTACCAGTATATTCTTTTGCATGTTTGCAAAAATCCCCATTTTTTTGGTCCAAAACTTTGAATGTAGAAAAAATCTTATTACAAATACAGAAAATGTTCAGTGTTCCTGAGAAATAAATACCCACACTCAAGGATTAACGTGATTCCAGGACAGAGTTTCTCCATGATAGAGACAGCCCAGTAATGTATAGTCCTCCTGTTGGTCATGGAACATTTGCAGCCTGAGCCTTCTGACATGGTCTTGCTTGTGTGCTTTAGACTAGAGCAGAGTAGTTTTTAGAGTGGTTCTTTACTTTCCGTGGTTATTTAAACTCTGGTCTCTCTTAATTAGTACTTGTTGTAGCAATGCTATTCATACCTTCAATATGTGTCATTCTTTGTTCGTATTTATGGTTAGGCACTGAACAAGAATGTACGTGGTCAAAATCCCTGCTTTGAAAAGTTTACAGTCTAAGAAGTTCATTACATAGGCCCAGAATCCACGTTTGATTGGCTATGTCAGATATTTTTATTTTATTCAGGTATTTATGCACACATTGCCTCAGCCTCCTGACATCATTAAGCATTTGAGTTTGTATTTGAATTATAGCAGAAATTGTAGAATAGATTTAAAGAAGAATGACTTTACAAATTACTCCAGAGAGACTGCTTAAGGTTTACAGGAAAAGGAGAATAAAGGAGAGTACATATGGGACAGAGTGAACTGTGACTTTGTGCAGTTCAGCAGGGTTTCTGAACTGACTGGGATAAATGGCATACCAAAGGTTCTTCAGAGTAAGGATAAAATGGATACAACCACTTTATACAAGAAAAATGAGCCAAACTTCCCATTCATTTTAAGTTGCCAAAGGGTCTGTGTTTTAAAGGAGTCCAGAGAAAAATTGTCAGCATCCTAGATTGGAGGAAAGAATGAAAAGTAGAGTTTTAGCTTCTAGAAAAAAAACCACATTAATTTTAGAAATGTTACAGAGTTAAGAGATTATATGATACAGACACAGCCTTCCCACCAGTGACTGCAATGAGACAAAGGTTTTTCACGGGGAGAGGAAAGTAGATGCAATTTCTTTCTCTGTCATGGACGCAAATTGTTCTGTATGCTTTTTCATAGCGTAAAATAAGGGTGGAAAGCTTCCCTTGTGTCATTTCTGTGGGATGAATGTCAGCATTAGATTAAGTAAATGATACATGGTTCTAAATGACAGAAATGTATGAATTAAATCAATAACCTTCCCTACGCACTCCTCATTAGTCTCCTTGGTTTCTAATCATGTTACTTTATATTCTTTTATCTTACTCTGCTGGAGAGCCATTGGATGCTATCCTGCAACAATGTCTTTACGCCTCTGTGTGTGTCTTTCTGTCTTTTTATGGAAGCCTTTGGTGTATCTTTGCCTCTACTGATAAAAACACAGATGTGGTGGTTTGGTTTTTTTTTAAGTAGAACAAAATTGTGCATATCTTGACTTTGAAACCTTGGAAAATGAGAAATGTTTAATATAAAAACTGTATTTTTTTTTTTAAATTGTCAGTCAAAATCTTAAAGAAGAGACACGTTAATATATTACAGGAGGATTTAATTGCTTGGTCTCTTAGGCAAAAATGAAGCTTATAAACTTTTTTCTTCATTTTTAGCTTCTCATGTCTGTGTTTGACAACAGCATGAAAACATTTGGGGTTATTGAAAGTGACCCTTTTGATTGGGAGAAGAGTGGAACTGATGGCTCTCTGACAACAACAACAACTTCAACCACACCTCAGTTACACACCCGTCTTACTCCAGCTGCAATTGGGTATGTGTGCACATTGTGGCCACTTAAAAAGCAGCCACAGAGTACCAAAGGGAAATTATCTCCCTATTTCAGTTTTTTTCTGCAGGATGTTGAATACATAGAGGAATGGAGGTTTGGGAGCATTTTTGAAGTATTTCCCTCTTTAGGGTTCCTGTTTATACTATCCTGAAAGATCAGCACTGCAGTCCTAAATTTATAGCATTAAAAAATAGTAACTCAGGAAATTGCATGTAAATTTGCTAGTCCATCCTTTGCTAAATCATACTTTGTGAAACTAAATGAAGTGTCCTGAATTTAACTGCCTGGAAACAAACCCATTGTTTTCTGTAAACTTGGAATAAACTACTAGCTATGGTTTCCTTATAACTTTGAAAAATGAATGAATCTTTACAGGAAATTTGGAAATAGATTTTGATCAGGATTAAAATAATATTTAATGTGGTCTTTGAGACCTTCTGTAATTAAGTAAGGTGGATGAGATGTGATGTTTAATAATGCCGAGATACTCATCTCAGGGGATTGGAGAATGTAAGAGGTGTTTATAGGTGTGGAGGAAGACTTTGTGCCTGTTCTAGCCTTTGAGTAGATCAACTTTTTATCTAAGAGTCACGAAGGTTATGACATGGTAGTTTTGCCAGTGTAGTGAGGCTGAAAAATGCTAAAATTTCATGTAGAATGTATTACATTCCCAGTATTTCAAGGTAATTTAAAAAATCTAAGTGTTAAAATAAATGTCAGTTGACATTAACTGTATGGTGTGCGGTGTACAGTGTGCACTGTTGAACTGAAGTTGACAGGGTTTTGCATATGGTTCAGTCCCATTATCACACTATGCATCACACCGGAGTTACTGATAGTCTTGGTTTCAGTTAACAATGTTGGCGACTGTAAAGGAATTTCTAATTGACCTTCTGACCATTCACTTTTTAGGTATAGCATTGCTTCAGCTTCAGATACTGAGCTAAATCATAGCCCTCTTTACCCCAAATCAATGGGGATACGAAACTTTAATTAAAATGTAACATCTTATTAGCATTATATTTATGTTTTGATTATCAATAATTGGATCAAAGTAGCACTTTGATAAGAATAATAATTAAAACTGCATTTAGTTTACTGAGTGATCTCTCTTCATCACACAGTATGTTTTGTTATTCTACCAAATTTTGTGGAAAAGGAAACTATATTATGAAAGTTGCCATTAATTTTTCTGAATAGAAAAATATGTGTAGAAGAGTCAGGAGTGAAATTGAGCCTGGACAAGTTGTCTTAGAAGTTGTGTGAAAAACATTCAAAAAACCGGCTTTAAAGTGATTGGATTTTTTACACCTTCTGTTATGTGCCTAAATTAAAGAAACATAAATTGTGAAAGAAGAAGAGTTTTTATATTAAATAATTTAGAAGATTTAGTTTTCCACAGAAACATGCTTTTCCTTGTAAAATTTTGTGTCTTTTAATAGAGTATAAATTAATTTAGAGTAGAGAAGAATTTCAAGAAATATATTAAAGTCTCAAAATATTTACCTTTCCAATTTTTTTTTTTTTTTTAACTACTTTTGTAGAATTGCCAATGCCACTCCTATCCCAGGAGATCTTCTGCGAGAAAACACAGATGAAGTGTTTCCTGATGAACAGCTCACTGATGGAGAGAACGGTATACCAGTTGGTGTCTCACCAGAGAAACTTCCTGGATCCCCTGGGCATCAGCGTCCTCAGGAAAAAGACGTTTGGGAAGAAATGGATGCAAACAGAAACAAAATCAAACTAGGGATCTGTAAGGTACTTACAAATCTGCATTGCAAAGACCATCTTTGAGCAGTTTCCTGTCCTCATAGAGCACGTAAGATAAAATTAATGATGCAGTCTTACTAATACTGATTAGCCAGAATGGTCTAAGAAAACAAGATTTATGGTAGAGCTAACACATTCTATTAGAGTGATTTGTATACTGGAATGAGCTTTTGGGCTTTGTGTCACTTTATCAGATCTTTATGAGGAATAGTAGATTGTTGATAATTTGAGATTCTGTGTAGTATATTCATGTTCTTCAGACATGATTTTGATTCTTGCTCACTGAATGAAACCAAAGCAAATTTCCTGCATCTTGCATGTGTAGAAGTTAGATACTGAATATACAAAAAACAGTTCAATGTTATTCTTCCATTGACAGATTGGCAGTATGATTGTCAGTGTTCACTTAATTCACTTGGTGGTTTTGAATCCATAAGATAATGATGCCTTTGTACTGATCTAAAGAGTTTTGTGGGCTGGTCTTTAGAAGACAATGCAGCTGAGAACTGGTCTCTGAGCAGTGGTTCCCACCTCCCTTGCTCACAATCACATATCATACTCAGACAAATGTAGCCCTTTTTCTTGATATAAAAATGTTTTGAATGTGAAGAGGGATCTGGTACTGAAATGTTCTTTAGCTAGGAGAGCTGTCTGGTTTTGAGGCTGTTACTTCTTGTTTATTAGAAAAAAATGTACTGTGGGAAAGAATAAGGCATGGTGCCTCTTTTCAAATGTGCTTACTTGTTAGTTTGCTTTTTACCAAAGAGGGAGAAAGGAGGTTGTTCTGCTTTAAACAAAGGCAATTTCTATCCGTTATATCTGCTGAAACTAAGGATGCTCATGATTTCCCAGCTTTAAATCACGTCCAGTTAGTGTACAACATGGAATTCAGCTGGACTAAAACATAGTTCTAAGTCACAGAAATATCTAGTAGCTTTAGTGTATATGCTCTAGAGAATCATAAAGACAGCTTGGAAGCTAACTTCTCTTTAATAAGAGCACTTGACTGTAAAGCAAACTGGAGATGCTACCGAGTGCCAGGTTTTGGGCTATTATTAAAGAAAATTCAGAGATGAGTGTGAAATATCATAGTAAATACAAGTGTATTACTGGGTTTTTGAGACTCCTGTTCTCAGACCTCCCCAGAGCTAGTGTATTACTAGTATGTTGTCTGTTGTAGGCATGTGCCAAAGAGCGTGTCTAAACCACCTTTAAGTAAGGCATGAAATTAAGGACCATTCCAAAGACAAATTGGCTTATCACAGACTAAAAACCTGGATGGTATTCACCATGTAGTACCTTGTCCTCCTCTGTTTTGCTACTCCTAGTGAGTTACATTTTTACTTTATTTTTTTCACAGGCTGCCACAGAAGAAGAAAACAGCCATGGGCCAGTGAATGGAATGCTTAATGCACCGAGTCTTGGCTCTCCAATTCGTGTTCGCTCAGAGACCACCCAGCTAGACAGAGATGTCCCACTGGTGCGAAAGTTACGTTCAATTCACAGCTTTGAACTGGAGAAGCGTCTGACATTGGAGTCAAAGCCAGACACTGATAAATTTCTTGAGACCTGGTAAAGAAATTATTTTATTCCTACACTTAGATCTTTTCAGGATACCTAGTTAAGATAATATCATCTTTCCTCTGCTGTGTGAAAACCAGGAATGGAACTGCTGAGTTATGCTTATGCAAGCTACAGCAAAGTATTTACTGCGTTCATAATACCACTCAATTAATGGATTTCACCACTTGGCAGCTTCTTTAAAAAAAGATTAGTGCTAAAGTCAGACTTTTATACTTGAGAATTTTTTATTTTATGACCTAGTGGTGTAGCTCTGATGTTTATTACTTTTTTCTTCAGTGGGATACTCTTGACAGTCAGTACGACTCATCCTAAATAAGAAGGATGACATCAGGTGCTCAATAGAGGTAACATGGGGTTGTATTATATGACATGAGAAGGACAGTTTACAAGAAGTGGAGTTATGAAATAAAGATAGAAATCTACATGCATGCAGCAGATTAAGTTTTCCCCAGAGATATTGACCTAACATAAAAAAATGTTGATAGAAATGGTGAGGAGGACTGGGAGAAGGATAATACCTCCATGCCTGGCAAGATCATGGAGCAGATCCTCCTGAAGGCTCTGCTAGGACACATGGATAATATGGAGGTGATTGGTGACAACCAATATGGCTTCACCAAGGGAAAATCCTGCTTGACAAATCTGGTGGCCTTTTATGATGGAGAGACAGCATCAATAGATAAGGGAAGAGCAACTAATGTCATTTACCTGGACTTGTGCAAGGCATTTGACACTGTCCCGCATGACATCCTGGTCTCCAAGTTGAAAAGACGTGGATTTGATGGATAGACCACTCAATGGATAAGGAATAGGTTGTAAGGCCACACCTAAAGGGTTGCGGTCAGTGGTTCAATGTCCAAGTGGAGACCAGTGACACGTGGTGTCCCTCAAGGATTGGTAGTGGGACTGGTACTGTTTAATCTCTTTGTTGGCGATATAGACAGTGGGATGGAGTCCACCCTCAGCAAGGTTGCTGATGACAGCAAGCTGTGTGGTCTGGTTGATACGCTGGAGGGAAGCGATGCCATCCAGAGGGACCTGGACAGTCCCTCATGAAGTTTAACAAGGCCAGGTGTAAGGTCCTGCACCTGGGCTGGCGTGATCCCAAGCACAGGTACAGGCTGGGTAATGATGGGATTGAGAACAGTCCTAGGGAGGACTTGTGTGTGTTGGTGGATGATAAGATCAATATGAGCCAGCAGTGTGTGTTTGCAGCTCAAAAAGCCAACCAGATTCTAGGCTTCATCAAAAGAAGCATGGTCAATAGGTCAAGGGAGGTGATTCTGCCCCTCTACTCTGCCCTTGTGAGACCCCACCTGGAATACAGTGTCTGGCTCTGAAGCCCCCAATACAAAAAGGTTATAGAACTGTTAGAATTAGTCCAGATGAGGGCTACCAAAATGATCAGAGGCCTGGAACACCTCTCCTATGAGGACAGGCTGAGAGAGTTGGGCTTCTTCAGCCTAGAAAAGAGAAGGCTCTGGGGAGACCTCATAGTGGCCTTCCAGCACCTGAAGGGTGCCTACAAGAAGGCTGGGGAGGGACTTTTTACAAGGGACTGTAATGATAGGACAAGGGGTAATGGTTGGAAGCTGAGGGAGGGGAGGTTTATATTAAATATAAGGAAGAAGTTTTTTACTGTGAGGGTGGTGAGGCACTGGAACAGGTTGCCCAAGGAGGTTGTGGATGCTTCATCCCTGGAAGTGTTCAGAGCCAGGTTGGATGGAGCCTTAAGCAACCTGATCTAGTGGGAGGTGTCCCTGCCATAGCAGGGGGTTTTGGAACTAGACCATCTTTGAGGTCCCTTCCAACCCAAACCATTCTATGATTCTAAAAGACAGAGGTCTTAAAATGGAATTTGAATGTAGGGAGGAGACAGATGTATGAGAATAGATTCAATCAGTTTGCCTATGTGTAGGAAGAATAAGGGGAGAAGGACACAGCGAAATCTGGCTGAAAGGCCAGAGGCTGAATGGGGACAGTAGAAGACAGCAGAGATGCTGACAGTGGCAAGATCCTTCTAAGTCATAGTGGGGATAGGAATTTGAATTTGTTTGATGAAGCAAGTTATGCATAGCATAAATAAAGAATCAATGACAAAAATAACATCCTTCTTGAAAGTATCTACTAACTGCTGCTGGAGACATCTGTTTCTTCTGGTCTTCTTTGAGTCTCCACTTAATTAGGTCTCTGCATAAATGAAGTGCAATGGACATCTGGTGGTAGCCTCGTCACTGAGTTGGTATTCACTCACTATTCTCCCTTTTGGTAACTACATTTACAATACAATATGATATATTACAATTAGACTTCAAATATGTGCAAATTTCCAAGACCATCTGCCCATTTTTACATACTTGTCTCAAATTGTGGATCTTTAAACACCTGTAGATTATTCTAAAATATGACAACAAATTTTTATGTAAATCTAGTTTTCCTCTACTGAAAACCCTCAAATGTAGCTTACATTATTTAATTAATTCTTAACTAATTCAGATATTAACTTATTTTCTTAAGTTTGGAGAAGATGCAGAAAGACATGAATGCTGCGTCAGAGACTCCTGTTGGTGCTGTTCCTCCTCCTTCTCAGAAGACACCCATTCCTGCTCCTGTGACTACCCGCATGGACCATGTTTGGCACTATGATGAAGAATATCTTCCAGACCCTTCAAAGCCTGTGTCAGCTGGTTCTCCAGAACATGTTGATGGTGTTATTAGCAATGGATTTGTAGCTGTCAACTTAAGCTCCTGCAGGCAGGAAGTTGATTCTAAGGAATGGGTAATAATAGATAAGGAACGGGACTTGCAGGACTTCAGGACAAATGAGGCTTTAGGGCACAAAAATACTGGAAGTCCTTCAGATGAAGAGCCAGAGGTACTACAAGTTCTAGAGGAGTCTGCTCCGGAAGAGCAGCCCAGACAGGGTGGTTGGGCAGGAAACAGTGTCCATGTCAAGAACCAAACCTCAGGGGTGGAGTTTGTTCTAGCCATGGAGTGTCATCCTGCTGCTTCCGAACAGTTTACAGATAAATTGGAACTTCAGTCCGGAGCTGCTGGACAGCTTCTTGCAGCCACCCCTACAAGTCCTATGGAAGCTCAAGCAGAAGGAGCGCTCACTCCGGTAAGAGAAACGGTCGCTGTTTTATTGAACCTCTCCTTATTCAGAATTACTTGAGGTAAGGGAAAAGGCAGTGACTAAAATACAATAGCATAGCAGAAATTCCTGGTTTCATCAGATATGGGACTTGATTCCTGCGGAATGATCTTCCATGTTCTGTTACACAGGTGTTTACATTGTCCCATGGAAGTGGCTATTAGTTCTGCAGGTATGATCCACAGAACTGGCTGCAATTAAAAAAAAAAAATTATATGAAAAAGCTCCTTATTCAGTGATTCCTAATCAGTCTTACACATGCAAATATATATTTGCAGTACATAAACATAAAATGACAACAAATATGTAAAAGACTGTGCTACAATGTTTAATGTATTTCAGGAAAAGCCTAAATGGCTGAAACAAAAGAAAGAGTTACTTGCTCTCACCATCATTGATGTAGTATTTTCTTTCGGAATTCCCATTGTTTCTTCCCGTATCTTCTGAAATTTCTAATGGTTCTTATACAAACCAATGGTTGGCTTTTATAAGTTGTTACTACTTCTCACTTCCAAGACAATTTTGCACCTTCTGCTTTGCTCCCAGAATTTTCTCTTTAGACAGATTGCTTTGCTTCAATTGCACCTTCTTTTTGTTTCTCTATCTTCTCTAAAGAATTCTCATTTGTAGTTTTTTAACTTCTACTTTTTTTCTCCTGTTACCAATTCTAAACAACAACAAATTTGGCTTTAACTAAGGAGGAAGTGATATTAATGGTTAAGTCTTTGGAAATCAGCTCCTGGTTTTATTTCTCTCTTTTCTCAGTAGATACTCTGTTATCTATGATATAAAGGGCAATTCTTTCAAGTTCTTTTGAGCCAAGAAACCTGTCTGTACTTCTCCTTCACTTATCGCCACTTTTTGTGAAAGTTACAGCCAGCTCATTAGAAAAAGAAACTTGTCACCAATCACTCATTTATTATAAGGTGTGGAACATCTCTTATGGTTAAAATGAACTATTCAATGTAATTAACTGTAGCTGTACAGTAAAAATTCAAATACACCTAGGTTCTCCTGGAAAATGCAAGATCTATCTTTCATACAAGATCATGTTTAGATATCATACTTTGTGAGTGATGTGGTTTATAGAAGATCCATTCTGCATGATTCAAAATACAGAACTGTGTTAAACAGCAGAAGATTTTTGAGATTTAAGTTTAAATATTAATTGCATGTAAGTGTTTGATGGGTTAGAAACTTCTAAAGATGAAAAATTAATTTAAAATGCTCAGTTGTTTACAGTTGTTCAATTTTTGTATTTTAATGTTAGTTTTAGTAAAACAGACAAGAAAAAGCAACACTTAGTCTTGTACAAAATACTAATTATCAGGCTTTTTTATTTCAAAAGCCACTAAAAACCAGCTTGCTATTTTGTATGCAAATACACTGTTCCACTTTATATAAACTTGGCTTTTTTGGGGGCAATAGCTATTTTACTTAAAACTGAAAGTAGAGGTGGTGTAAGTATCATGTACTACAGCGCAAATAATGGACAATATCTTTATCTGGAATGGAAGAAGCTCCTGAGCGTGGGAGCAGAAATAGTTACAAGCAAGGTCAATTAATTATAAGATGTACTGGAAGAAATACTGCTTGACGTAGATATTTGAGTGAGATTATATTTTAGTTTGGTTTTGCAAGCAGGTAAGGGATTTGTCATGACCTCAAAAATGGGGGAAATAGATATGGCTTGTATTATCCTGGAAGGGCAAGTAGTGCTGTGAGGGCAAGTTTAATGGCAGCAAGGAACTTGCTGTTTTGAAGGTGAATCATGTGTAATTGAAAATATAATCTGAACTAGGAGTAAGCAAAATAGAAATTATTTGGCCAATTTAGAAATGAAGAACAGAGTGTGTCTATTGAGTGTGTCTGTTCCAACTGTGATGGCAATATGTGGTAGTCGTCCATCTACTTCATTAGTCCTTGAAAGCAGAACAAAGCCCAGGAGGATATTTGTAGACGAGTTGTTCTTTCTGTCCTTTGTTGATGGTATTCCACTTCATAAAAGATACTTAAATAGTCCTTGAGGTGGGTACCGGAACCTAGCTGTTATAGGTGAATGTCTGGGTCACTTCACAGGGAGACAGTTGATGTATACTCTTCGTACAGTAGTTCTCTCTGTTCAAGAGCCCTGGTGACCTTAGGGAGCTGTTTGGTAAAGTACTTTTCCTTCTTCCTCAAAGCATCCACCTGCCTAAAACTGTTCTTTGAATGTGGTCCTAGTTTGTGGATCAGATGGTCTTGTTCTTTAGTAATTTTTTTCTAGGTAGCACCTCCCTGACAATACAAATAATGAGCAAAGGGTTGTACTTTACTTTTCTGCTCATCTAATTATATTGCACCAGTTAATAAGAACAGGCTTGGACAAAAGAGCGTAAGTTTAGGACCAGAAATCAAATGACTTAAGCATTATTAAAAGGGGTTAAAAATGGATATTGAAATTATAGTAGTATTATACCTTAATATCTGAAACGGTTTACTCATTTCAAACAGCTTGAAACTCTAGGGCATGTTGGCATTCATGGTCATCTTTCTTACAAATATACCTCCCATATGGATTTCTGGTGACCTGTTAGCATGGGGTTTAATTACCATAGAAAGTATGATGAATTATCTTTTTTGAGCTTATTCTGATTTGGTTATTATCTTCTTTGAGCTTATTCTGGTTTGTTAAAGATGCAAGCAATTACTTCAATGGTGAATGAATTAAATAGTTTTCCTGCTTTATGTATTTTTGATTTTTCAGTTTTACTTTGATTCTTCTTTATTCATTTCTTTCAGAGCTTTATTGCTCACTATCTAAGTAGTCAGTAGTAGCAAGGATGTTTCTGTATAAGAAACTAAAGGTTTATATACTCACCCTTAATTTTATTTTCTTCTGAAGGAAAGAAATTACTGGGCTACAGTCCTTCCATTTGTAGATAAATGTTCTTCCTGAAATTGTGTGTGTACATGGACTTCCTGTAATTGACGATAATAATCGTTTTTACCTGTTTCACACAGCATCAGCATTCTAGTAAGAATGTAAAGTTGTAGCACTTCAGGAAGGAAACATGAACTCAAAAAAAAATAACATGAACTCAAAAAATAAAACATGTAAGTTATTGGCTTGGGGATGAGCAAGTTTCAGGCATAAAAATTTACAGCAAATTATTCTACCTATTATGAAAAAAACCTGCAAGTAAGATAAGTAATTGTCATGTTATCAGTCATGGTTTTCCAGTTGCAATACAGATTCTGTGTGCTACCAGCAAATACCAGTTTGATCTGGCTCAGTCATGGGCACATGGTCACGTTTCTGTTGAACTGTTCAGAGCATGCAAGGGTATATATGCTGACTTCATGCTTTCATAAAGGCTTTATGTTCACTTCGGCTTCAGGAGGACAGGCAGTACCTGATTTGCTGTAATATCTGCTAGTATGAAGTAATTCTGTCAAAAGCATTTGAGCTGATCTAGACTAAGGATGAATTTATACTGGAGCAGCACTTGATATCATGTATGATGTTCTCTAGTTTTCTTTTCTTTGATCTGGTACTAAGAGCCTAAAGCTGGTCTTGTGTTGTTGAACTATGGCCTCATTAATTTACAGCATTTGTACTGTTTGTGGTGAAGTCCATACAGTGCATGCGTGAAACTTCACAACATACATTTGTGAAGCAGATGCCTCAAGAAAGAAATAATAATAATGGAGTTGAAGTAGTTGAATATGTAACAGCTAAGTCCATTTTCATCCTCAGTTTAAATGAAACACTTTGCTCTGGCCACAACTGGTTGACAACCTAATACCATATATATATATATGCGTGGTTATAGAAGAGGTTTGACTGTGTGAATCTATTTATTTTTATTATTTAGAAATATTGCTGAAATTAGCATTTTGTACATTGAGGTAATATTATGTTTTATCAAAAACCTGGTCTTAAATTTCCAATTATGTCTGAATTCTAAGTAATTTAATTCTCTTATACCTTCTATTCTCAGTTGCCGCTTTTTTTTTTCCCCAGTTGAGAGACAGCTATGCATTATGGGAACTGAAGCTTTAGGAATGATGCAATTGAAAATACCTTTTTCTTGGAAACTGGAATGCTTGATAGGTGCTCTCTGTTTCCAAAAAATACCGGTTAGAATTGCAAATACCATGGTAGGAAACAGAAAATCACATTTACGAAGCTTGCAAAAGTTTTCCTTGTCTCTACTCTTCACAGTTTTGTCTAAATGTACTTAGACAAAGAATTGCAGACTGTATATAGCAATCTCATTTACAGGTATTTAGATGTGTCACCGTGAGATATTTATTCAGCACTGGAAAAGGTCTTTCAGAGAATCAGTTGATTTCAGAGTTGTATGTCAAAGCTATGGGTTATTAGAATCATCAGAAAACATTCTGAAAATGTACTTTCTCTAAAGGAGTTAGTTTGGAACACTTTGACTTTACAGTTCCTGTTCTTTCCCTGCCCCTTCTTTTCAAAATGCTTGAGTGATGTAGTTGAAGATGAAGCAATTGTTCATGGGTTGTCCAGGCCAGTGTATCCTTCTAGTTCAATCCCATATTTAGGAAATTTCATTGAAATTGTTTAGTACTAAACTTACTGATTAATCCTGTCAGCTATGGTTCTTAATATATGCTGTTATAGCCTTAGAGTTGTACAGTCACATTTGTAAGCCTGCAATGGGTGTATATGCTAAAAATATAGTCATCTCAGATGTGTTAAGCATTTTCAAGGACCAGTCAACAATCGACCAGTTTGTGTACACAGTGTCCTTGGAACAGACCATGTTAGTTTATTAAATTTGCCCTAGATTGTTACTGACTGAAGGAAGGAAGGTAGGAGCCAGCTAGAGAAAGGTTGCTCACTTTTGATTTTGATACTGGATTTTTAAAAGTTGATGGAAAATGTGAAGATTAGACTTGAGGTACCTCTTAAATCATCAGCTTTTAGCCTGTGAGGGAAGTGTGTATATGGTCTTCTAAGGAAATGCACATAGGCAAGACGTAAACAAGAATTATTAAAGTATTGATTTTTAAACCTTATTTTCTTCCCCACCATGTTGTTCTCACAGCTCAACTCATCTCATATGCTGCATTTCTCCACTCCAAGAATTTCAAGTCCCATCCTCCGCACCATGAGCCCTATAGCCTATCTTTCCATCCACTCGGACCCTCTGAAAGAGGCTGGTTTACCAAGGAGTCAGTCAGCTGAGAGCCACTCCTCTTCTTCCCGCTCAACTGGTCGTAGGCAGCTTCCTGTCATTCCCTGTGGCAACAAGTTCCCCCCTGTCATTCGCACCTCAAAAGCACAACTTCAGCAGGTGAATAAGCCTTGTCTTCATAAAAGTGACTGCACTGTAGCAGTCATCTGCAAAGTTTAACATTTTGAGTTGCTCTGCACAGTCCGGTAGTAGGCATATGCTAGTCATACTGCTATACACAACATCCTAAAAATATATTGAAAGTTCAAGTTAGGGAATAAAAATGGATCTTGTTCAGGAACAGAGGCAGGAATACTCTGAGGAGAGGCAGGAATACTCTGAGGAAGATAAATTGTCCTTCTTTGAAGAGGTAAAATTAGAGGAATATTTAAATAGCTGTTATTCAGGTTATGATATGGAGCACCAAGCATCTCTGGATGTTCTGGAAGATAGTTGCATGTTCTCAGTGGGATTTTCCCTGGAAAAAGGTAGGATTATAAAATCTAGAAAACAGATTTTTGCTATGATTAAAATGTTTCTTTTTTATGTGTTCCTATAATCAGTACCAGGTAGATTTTGAACTGTGAACACATATTAAAATTTGGACTCTTAAATTATTTTAATTTGAGACAACAGGGTCTAGTCAAATTGCTACTTTGGGAACGAACAAATAATGAATTGTTCCACTTCTTGCAGTATACAAAACAAAAATGGGAATTATCGGGAATCATAGCTAATGGAAAATGTCACTTGAGAAAGAGGACTTTTCATAGTTTCATACTCCCAGTTTCATTTCAATATGAAAAAGGTGAAGGCTCAGAATCATAATTGAAGTTAGCCACAATTTGTGTATTAGTCACAAAAATACTGAGATTTGCTAAGCAGCATGAGTTTGCGTTGACTGGTAAAGCAGTATGACATAGCATTAATGCATAAGACCGTAACATATCATCATCATTTTACCATTAATGTTTCTTTGAATTATATTTTATGTTGGCTTTTATTTCCAATGTATTTTTTCATTATAAATATTTCTGTGTGAAAGACTTGAGGTTTTTTTTCAGTGAATCATGCACAGAAGTGTCGATATTGAAAGTTATCCATCATTAGCTTCTTTCAAACTTCCATAGGATCAGTGGTGAGTGATAGCAAGGCAAACAAAGTAGCTAGTGTACTTACATCAGCATTTTGTCTGTTAGCTCAAAAAGTAGTGTTTTTTTCCTGCAGCTCTTGGCTGCTTTTTATCTAGATATTGAAAATTGTTCTGCTCTCAATGTATGGAAACGGACAAACAGTAGCTGCCAAACTTGATGGGATATGAAAATACCATATTCTTCATGGTGACTGATGTTATCGACTAGGGAACAGGACTTAGGAGAAATTAACTCATTAAAAGTTAAGCTTCGGTATTTTTCAGGATTAGTTTGTATCCCAGGATGCAAAATAACCTATTTGCTTTTGCCTGTACATCTGTCATTTAAATTTTCCAATCAGAATGTATTGCAGGTATAATTAACAAACTGCTCACACTACTATAAAGAAAGTAGGTTGGTGCAGAGGGTCTACTCTGGCTTCCTTAGTACCCAACAAATGAATACAGCAGCAATATTAATAGGGCCTGCAAAGTGATATACTTTCTTGTCATGTGAAAAAGAATTGGAATTGTGCCAGGTGTGGCTACTGAGTGGAGTGAGGATTATATGTAGCTTCTCAGCCTCTTCTTTCTTTTTACCTGGTAAGTCCATGACTGCTGTGTTCTTTTTCAAGCTGTGATTTTGAAAGTCCTGACTCTGTTGAGAATTTAACTTCCAGTTTTCCATTTGCTGTGGAAACTACAAACACGTGATTCTTTAGTTCATCCTAACAATGAAGGCTTCGTGTACTTTATGGCTCACTGAAGAACTGAAATACTTTTGCAAGTCCTTCTCTTTTCTACCATGCAGCAATATTAGGTCCTTAGCAAGCTAGAAGTTCCAGCAGCATGAAAGATGAATATGCATGTTAATAACCTCCAGTTAAGTATGAAAAAGAATTTTAATGTCATTCTGTATTATTCTGTATAAATTTTTGGTACTGAATATATTTTTGTGTATTTCCTGCTGTTTGCAATTTTGTTCAGCACTCATAACTGATGAATTGCAGAAGTAGGGGAATCTGTGCTGTAGAATTTAGTTTCATGTATTAAAAAATAAAAAGATGCTACATTTGTTCTTGAAATCAAGCAAAGGGATTTTCTTTCCTTATTGTTGATGAGTGAGGGTTCAGGAACTGTAACCCACCTTCCTCTATTTTGACATCAGATGGACTAGGTAATGAAATTTCCATATATTCTCTGCTCACTAGTGCAGAGAGGGTATAGGATGTAGGTCTACATTTATTTGTTCAATAAAGAGAACCCCTCTCTTGCCATACATATATTATGGAAGAGAATTGGAGTATTTTGCTTCTACTCTCCTTAGTTATTGAATTTGCAGCACAAAGAAAGAGTCTGGCAGCATTCTGGTTTCTGTCAGCTCTAATGAATTTGTGCTTGAATCTGAAGAGTGGTGCTAGAGTGCTGTTAGCATCCTTTTCCTCTATAGCATGGTCCAAATGTACAGCAAATCCTTGTGAAACATAACCCTTTTCTGTGAATTTTTAAGCCAGATAATTTCTCTGAACTCTGTTCATTAGAGGACTGCATAGGGTGTTGTGTGAGGTCAGTGGAAAAGGAGATGTGAGTGCACAACTACTGGCCAGAGGTCTGTCTGAAGAGATTGCTTAGGTAGACATTGTGCGAACTGTGTAACTGTGTCTTGAGAAACAATCAAGATCAGTGACCTCAGATTTTGATCTCTGTGGTTTCTCAACTCTAGTTCTTCAATAAGATTGTGAACGCCTCTTCTAGCCACAGCAGCAATCTAGAGTACTTCAAAACTGGCTACTGTACAGTAAGGTTCAGCCCTTAACAAAGGTGAATTCCAGTTTTTGTGTCATTCTGGCATATTTTCATTTTTTAGTGTGCTTAATGAGACATGTACAAGGGGAATAATTTTAATTTAATGATTTTGCAGTTATTCATTTTGTTAGAAACAAATAACCTGTGTGTCTCAGGTTAAGTAATCAGAATTATTTGGCACTTTTTTCTTATGTCTGAATTTTCACAAATTATTACCTTACTGGAACATTAAAAAAATTATTTTGTAGTTATATAGTTATATTATTAGTTACAAAATGCTCTGAAATCTTCCCACACAAGATGCTATGGAAATGCAAACCATCATATTCATATTCATATCCAAGATGAGAAATAATATACTGATCTGAGTTGAAAAATTTACCTTAATTTTAAAGCATCTCACTGGAATTCAGGGACCTATCGAAGAATAAGGTAAGACTTCTTGACATGTTCAAGGGGTATTTAGAGAAGGAATGCATATCCCTTATAACTGTCTTTTTATTTTGGATGTTTTAGGTCTATGAGCCAGGAGTGCACGTAAATGTTGTAAATTTTGCCATTTTTTATGAACTAATTTTGGCAGGTTTCACTAGTCTGCAATAGCAAGAGATAAATATTTACACTGGTTTTCACATTTATCAATACCTTTTAGAACCACAAATAAACAAACAAAACCACAGAGATACTCCTCTCTTCCTATACAATGTTCTTTTAAAATTATTTTTAATTTGTTAGTAGCATTAACTTGAAGTTGTCAGGTACATTAAGATTGCCTTACAACTCAGCTAGTTAAAACTCTAATTTAGCGTTGTACCTATTCATTAAAATGTCAGGAATTTTTGTCCAAAATCCTCTTCAGAATTTCGGTTTCAAGACATGGTACATTATCAAATAGATGTGTCTTGGAAGGGAAAGAAGGAAAAGCCATTCTTTGTTCAGTGAGTCTTTTTTTTTTTTTTTTTTTAACTGCTGCCATGGTTAAAGTTGGCTATAGAAAAAAGGACTCTGATTTCAGGGCTTACATAATTGTTATGCCCTGCCGCCCCCCCTCCCACCATCCCCCATTCGCTGTCCTGATGGAAACTATATTGAGTCAGCATGAGGCTTAAGTTAGGTTTATCTGAAGAGGCTGCTAATACCGTTTACAACATTGGGTTTAATCAAGGTAGAAATTTCAAATTGTTAGTCCAGCTCATAGCTACTGAAACTGTTTCATACACATTAGATCTAATTTTGTAACTGTTTCATACACAGTAGATGTAATTTTAAGTAGGGAAAATGTGCAGAAGTTGTATGATCTTATTCATGACAGGGTAACTGTTAAGAACTGTTAATTTTTCAAGAAATTTTAGCCTGAAAATTAAGTTGATATGATGTTGCAGCCTTCACTTACCATCCATGAAAGTAACCATTTGATAATGCTTATGACCAGATCAAAAGACAAGCTCAGGTTCAGAATTCTTACTGGTTTCAGTTGTAACTGTTAGGTTCTTGAAAGGCAATTGACATATGATCCCTGCTACATTGTCATTATTTTTTCATTAGTAGGTTTCTCTGGAGTTAAGTGAGTTTTTCATACAAAAACACATAGGATGAGGAATATCAGGAAACATTATTTTAGAATAAAAAGGATGTCTGGAAGACACATAAGCTCACAGGTTACTCCCATTCTTTTAAGCAACTAGATTTTATATTGATGTTTCTTGAAGAACTTTCTTCAATGCACTCTCATTCTAGTGCAAACAACTAAAAAGTTTTATTTGTGACTTTCATCCAAGTGGCAGAGGAAATTGCTTGATACATGGAAACCTAAATGCTGCCTCCAAGGACTTAGTAGGGTCTTTTGGCTGAAGGAGAGAAATTTTTCATGTGTGCTTTTTTTACATCTGCCTCTGGTGTACAGAAGAATTAAAAATCACAGCATATTAGGTTAGCTGTTTTTTCAGTTAAAACTTTTCAAGTTATAAATTAAGGAATTAACAGTTGAGGACAATCAGTCGGTATCAACGTCAATTTTTTTCAAACAGTGTGTTGGTTGTAGGGACTGCATCCGCTTTTAGTGACTGAACACTCTTGGCCATTCCCCTTCTGCAGGTCTCTCTATTAGAAGCAGCAGAAAAGTCATAGTGAATGTCAAGACAATAAATTAGCCTTAGTAATAGCATCCACATACAGCGATTGT